TTAATCTTGTTACAGGCGAACTATACATCCTAACGAGCCAAACTTTTCAAGTTCACATATTTTAATCTTGTTACAGGCGAACTATACATCCTAACGAGCCAAACTTTTCAAGTTCACATATTTTAATCTTGTTACAGGCGAACTATACATCCTAACGAGCCAAACTTTTCAAGTTCACATATTTTAATCTTGTTACAGGCGAACTATACATCCTAACGAGCCAAACTTTTCAAGTTCACATATTTTAATCTTGTTACAGGCGAACTATACATCCTAGGATCTAGCCAAACTTTTCAAGTTCACATATTTTAATCTTGTTACAGGCGAACTATACATCCTAGGATCTAGCCAAACTTTTCAAGTTCACATATTTTAATCTTGTTACAGGTGAACTATACATCCTAACGACCCAAACTTTTCAAGTTCACATATTTTAATCTTGTTACAGGCCCATATCCTAGGGTCTAGCCAAACTTTTCAAGTTCACATATTTTAATCTTGTTACAGGCGAACTATACATCCTAACCAGCCAAACTTTTCAAGTTCACATATTTTAATCTTGTTACAGGCGAACTATACATCCTAACGAGCCAAACTTTTCAAGTTCACATATTTTAATCTTGTTACAGGCGAACTATACATCCTAACGAGCCAAACTTTTCAAGTTCACATATTTTAATCTTGTTACAGGCGAACTATACATCCTAACGAGCCAAACTTTTCAAGTTCACATATTTTAATCTTGTTACAGGCGAACTATACATCCTAACGAGCCAAACTTTTCAAGTTCACATATTTTAATCTTGTTACAGGCGAACTATACATCCTAGCGAGCCAAACTTTTCAAGTTCACATATTTTAATCTTGTTACAGGCGAACTATACATCCTAACGACCCAAACTTTTCAAGTTCACATATTTTAATCTTGTTACAGGTGAACTATACATCCTAACGACCCAAACTTTTCAAGTTCACATATTTTAATCTTGTTACAGGCGAACTATACATCCTAGGGTCTAGCCAAACTTTTCAAGTTCATATATTTTAATCTTGTTACAGGCGAACTATACATCCTAGGGTCTAGCCAAACTTTTCAAGTTCATATATTTTAATCTTGTTACAGGCGAACTATACATCCTAACGACCCAAACTTTTCAAGTTCACATATTTTAATCTTGTTACAGGCGAACTATACATCCTAACGAGCCAAACTTTTCAAGTTCACATATTTTAATCTTGTTACAGGCGAACTATACATCCTAGGGTCTAGCCAAACTTTTCAAGTTCACATATTTTAATCTTGTTACAGGCGAACTATACATCCTAACGAGCCAAACTTTTCAAGTTCACATATTTTAATCTTGTTACAGGCGAACTACACATCCTAACGAGCCAAACTTTTCAAGTTCACATATTTTAATCTTGTTACAGGCGAACTATACATCCTAGGGTCTAGCCAAACTTTTCAAGTTCACATATTTTAATCTTGTTACAGGCGAACTATACATCCTAACGAGCCAAACTTTTCAAGTTGACATATTTTAATCTTGTTACAGGCGAACTATACATCCTAGGGTCTAGCCAAACTTTTCAAGTTCACATATTTTAATCTTGTTACAGGCGAACTATACATCCTAGGGTCTAGCCAAACTTTTCAAGTTCACATATTTTAATCTTGTTACAGGCGAACTATACATCCTAGGGCCTAGCCAAACTTTTCAAGTTCACATATTTTAATCTTGTTACAGGCGAACTATACATCCTAGGGCCTAGCCAAACTTTTCAAGTTCACATATTTTAATCTTGTTACAGGCGAACTATACATCCTAACGACCCAAACTTTTCAAGGTCACATATTTTAATCTTGTTACAGGCGAACTGTACATCCTAACGAGCCAAACTTTTCAAGGTCACATATTTTAATCTTGTTACAGGCGAACTATACATCCTAACGAGCCAAAATTGTCAAGTTCACATATTTTAATCTTGTTACAGGCGAACTATACATCCTAACGAGCCAAACTTTTCAAGTTCACATATTTTAATCTTGTTACAGGCGAACTATACATCCTAACGAGCCAAACTTTTCAAGTTCACATATTTTAATCTTGTTACAGGCGAACTATACATCCTAACGACCCAAACTTTTCAAGTTCACATATTTTAATCTTGTTACAGGCGAACTATACATCCTAACGACCCAAACTTTTCAAGTTCATATTATTTTAATCTTGTTACAGGCGAACTATACATCCTAGCGAGCCAAACTTTTCAAGTTCACATATTTTAATCTTGTTACAGGCGAACTATACATCCTAGCGAGCCAAACTTTTCAAGTTCACATATTTTAATCTTGTTACAGGCGAACTATACATCCTAACGACCCAAACTTTTCAAGGTCACATATTTTAATCTTGTTACAGGCGAACTGTACATCCTAACGAGCCAAACTTTTCAAGGTCACATATTTTAATCTTGTTACAGGCGAACTATACATCCTAACGAGCCAAAATTGTCAAGTTCACATATTTTAATCTTGTTACAGGCGAACTATACATCCTAACGAGCCAAACTTTTCAAGTTCACATATTTTAATCTTGTTACAGGCGAACTATACATCCTAGCGAGCCAAACTTTTCAAGTTCACATATTTTAATCTTGTTACAGGCGAACTATACATCCTAACGAGCCAAACTTTTCAAGTTCACATATTTTAATCTTGTTACAGGCGAACTATACATCCTAACGAGCCAAACTTTTCAAGTTCACATATTTTAATCTTGTTACAGGCGAACTATACATCCTAACGAGCCAAACTTTTCAAGTTCACATATTTTAATCTTGTTACAGGCGAACTATACATCCTAACGACCCAAACTTTTCAAGTTCACATATTTTAATCTTGTTACAGGCGAACTATACATCCTAACGACCCAAACTTTTCAAGTTCACATATTTTAATCTTGTTACAGGCGAACTATACATCCTAGCGAGCCAAACTTTTCAAGTTCACATATTTTAATTTTGTTACAGGCGAACTATACATCCTAACGACCCAAACTTTTCAAGGTCACATATTTTAATCTTGTTACAGGCGAACTATACATCCTAACGAGCCAAACTTTTCAAGTTCACATATTTTAATCTTGTTACAGGCGAACTATACATCCTAACGAGCCAAACTTTTCAAGGTCACATATTTTAATCTTGTTACAGGCGAACTATACATCCTAACGAGCCAAACTTTTCAAGGTCACATATTTTAATCTTGTTACAGGCAAACTATACATCCTAACGAGCCAAACTTTTCAAGTTCACATATTTTAATCTTGTTACAGGCGAACTATACATCCTAACGAGCCAAACTTTTCAAGTTCACATATTTTAATCTTGTTACAGGCGAACTATACATCCTAACGAGCCAAACTTTTCAAGTTCACATATTTTAATCTTGTTACAGGTGAACTATACATCCTAACGAGCCAAACTTTTCAAGTTCACATATTTTAATCTTGTTACAGGTGAACTATACATCCTAACGAGCCAAACTTTTCAAGTTCACATATTTTAATCTTGTTACAGGCGAACTATACATCCTAGGGTCTAGCCAAACTTTTCAAGTTCACATATTTTAATCTTGTTACAGGCGAACTATACATCCTAACGAGCCAAACTTTTCAAGTTCACATATTTTAATCTTGTTACAGGCGAACTATACATCCTAACGAGCCAAACTTTTCAAGTTCACATATTTTAATCTTGTTACAGGCGAACTATACATCCTAACGAGCCAAACTTTTCAAGTTCACATATTTTAATCTTGTTACAGGCGAACTATACATCCTAACGAGCCAAACTTTTCAAGTTCACATATTTTAATCTTGTTACAGGCGAACTATACATCCTAACGACCCAAACTTTTCAAGTTCACATATTTTAATCTTGTTACAGGCGAACTATACATCCTAACGAGCCAAACTTTTCAAGTTCACATATTTTAATCTTGTTACAGGCGAACTATACATCCTAACGACCCAAACTTTTCAAGTTCACAAATTTTAATCTTGTTACAGGCGAACTATACATCCTAGGGTCTAGCCAAACTTTTCAAGTTCACATATTTTAATCTTGTTACAGGCGAACTATACATCCTAACGACCCAAACTTTTCAAGGTCACATATTTTAATCTTGTTACAGGCGAACTATACATCCTAACGAGCCAAACTTTTCAAGTTCACATATTTTAATCTTGTTACAGGCGAACTATACATCCTAACGAGCCAAACTTTTCAAGTTCACATATTTTAATCTTGTTACAGGCGAACTATACATCCTAACGAGCCAAACTTTTCAAGTTCACATATTTTAATCTTGTTACAGGCGAACTATACATCCTAACGACCCAAACTTTTCAAGTTCACATATTTTAATCTTGTTACAGGCGAACTATACATCCTAACGAGCCAAACTTTTCAAGTTCACATATTTTAATCTTGTTACAGGCGAACTATACATCCTAACGACCCAAACTTTTCAAGTTCACATATTTTAATCTTGTTACAGGCGAACTATACATCCTAACGACCCAAACTTTTCAAGTTCACATATTTTAATCTTGTTACAGGCGAACTATACATCCTAACGACCCAAACTTTTCAAGTTCACATATTTTAATCTTGTTACAGGCGAACTATACATCCTAACGAGCCAAACTTTTCAAGTTCACATATTTTAATCTTGTTACAGGCGAACTATACATCCTAGGGCCTAGCCAAACTTTTCAAGTTCACATATTTTAATCTTGTTACAGGCGAACTATACATCCTAGGGTCTAGCCAAACTTTTCAAGTTCACATATTTTAATCTTGTTACAGGCGAACTATACATCCTAACGAGCCAAACTTTTCAAGTTCACATATTTTAATCTTGTTACAGGCGAACTATACATCCTAGGGCCTAGCCAAACTTGTCAAGTTCACATATTTTAATCTTGTTACAGGCGAACTATACATCCTAACGACCCAAACTTTTCAAGTTCACTCCAACACCGGCGCCATGTACAAGTTGGTCTCACCTAGAAGGTTGGTACACCTTCACGGGTCTAAGCTTGACCCGTGTGGGACTTTATGGGTCCTAGATGATCTAAAGCTAGACCCGTGTGGGACTTTATGGGTACTAGATGATCTAAAGCTTGACCCGTGTGGGACTTTATGGGTCCTAGATTATCTAAAGCTTGATCTCCATTAAACAGTGCTACCCCGAGATACGAATTTAATTCTGTCGTTAATTTTACACGTATTTCACAAAAATTTTCCCCATAAAAAAATTTAACTCTCAACAATCTGTTCTAGCCACGAACATACTTCGTTATTTGTAGCTGTACCCATGTATACATAAATAAATAAATAAATAAATATATATATATATATATATATATATATATATATATATATATATATATATATATATATATATATATATATAGTGAATGTGTGTGTACACCTCCCACCCCTGGATAATTCTACCATCCTTCTCCACAGCACCGGTGCGCCCCTGACGTCATTACGATGGTTCATTTTTCTCTTCATTCTCCTTATCTTGTAGTACTAATTCCTTTAGTTGTCTACCTCAATATTTTAAAGCATCCTCGCTTCCATGTGTCCAACCTTGTGACCTTTGAACTAATTATTTGCTCAAACCTCAATACTTAACGGAGTTGGGTTTTTTTTTTGTTTTTTTTTTTTCACAAACGCTTTAATTAAGAAATTATTTTTGTACATAATCGTGTTCATGTTTTTCACATCTTTTAAACGTTTTTCTGATGTCTTCTGTGTGTAAATATGTTTTTCTGATGTCTTGTGTGTGTAAATGAGTTACTTGCTGCTCACAGTTCAGGGGTCAAAGACCTGGGCTGGATGTAACGAGAGGTCACTTATTGAGGGTATTAATTGACCGGAAGTGGACCGATAGAAAGACCACCCCCTCCCCCTAAATGGTTACAACACTGAATGACCCTGAACAACAGATCTAAGGCTATAAATGACATCAAACCTAGCGACAGCTGGGCCTAGCTTTATATTTTCCTCCTGTGGTACTCTGCTGATGTGTCATGTGTCTCTACTCGCTGCTAGATATTCTTCTTTGATTGGTTCAGATTTAGAAAGAGGGTGCTGGCCGGTACCTTGATGTCCAGACTGGTGGTCAGTTGTTTTTGTTGGAATTTTGGGGGAAACCATGGATTGTAGTTAGGGTTAGAACAAGATTAGGTTAGGCTAGAACAAGAGTAGCTAAGGTTAGAACAAGATTAGCTTAGGTTAGATCAAGATTAGCTAAGGTTAGAACAAGATTAGGTTGGGTAAGAACAAGATTAGGTCTAGTGGTTTGTGAGATAAAGAACGTCTTGTAGCTGGCAGCGAACATGTTCTCGTGTGTTCTCCGTCTGATAGCACGTGTTTAACTGAGGCTCGTATTGGGAGAAGTTTGGTGCTTGAAAGTGGCACTTTTTTTAAAAACTGTTTTTTTTTTCTCTTTCTGCTTTGTGCTTGTAATATCTACAGCTTTTCTACACTTTCAATTTGAGACTCAATAAAGTATTTCAAAGAACTAGTGTGTTGGTGTATTATATTTACACTTCATAACTTATGTGGTGTGTTGTGTTTTATATTTACACTTCATAACTTATGTGGTGTGTTGGTGTATTATATTTACACTTCATAACTTATGTGGTGTGTTGTGTTTTATATTTACACCTCTGGTCCAAGTTTCTTGTACAGTAAACCACCGCCTGTACCTCTGGTCTATGTGTAGCCTGTACCTCTACTAATTTGATTACCTTTGCTCAAATACGTGATAGTCACGTGACCCCCCCCCCCCCCCCCCCCAATCCCGCCCTTTCCTTATTGAAACTCGGTGATCGATGCTCCAGGGTGGGACGTTTTGTGGAGATCACGGGTCTAGGGGTGCGGTCATCACCCCTGCACCCTATAGTGACGTCACTCCATATATGAGTTCACTGGAGGCATGAGCCATTTTTACATAGCAAGCCAGAAACGACATCTTAAACCACATTTAATCAGCAAAAATACATGTCCATTTCTAACACTGACCACACGATTACATAAATAAAACAAATTTAATTAGCAAAAATACATGTCCATTTTTAACACTGATCACAACCTTACATCCAGTTAAAAAGAAACCATTATCAAGCATTCAGGCATGAAATTTTGAACAATTTGTAGCCTAGCCTAGCCTAGCCTAGCCTAGCCTAGCCTAGCCTAGCCTAGTATTGAAACTTGAGTTTTCTTGGCACCATGAACTGGCGGGCCATATCATCCGTGACAAGTTTCCTGTTTTCTTGGATCTCCCTTACAAGTTTCTGTAGGACAGCGACAAGTTCGAGCTTCAACTCGTTGGTCGACAAGGTCCCTGAGGTGTAGTCCTGAGGGTGGGGGAGGGGGGAGGGAGAGATTAGTGTTACAAATTGATGTTTACATATTTACTTGTATAAAGACCATGTTGCGTGTTTCCTTGTTATTTTATGTTTAAATTTAATTCTGTTTTTTATTAAGTTTTATTTCATGTTGTTCCGCCAAGTAAATAGACCTGAGGCCAGTTTCTGATTTCCAGATTTTTTTAACACACTCCTCCACCAGTTTCTAAAGACGCTATATAACGACCGTAATTACCTTCCTTAATTGCTCGAGCTTGTGGTCGTCCTCCAAGAAGAACTTGAGATACTGGTAGGACACGTCGATGTCACAGTTGCCGCCCAACTTCTTGTGTTGGTCGATGGTCGGCTGCCCACCGGAGAAGGCGTACTTCATCACCTGCATGACAGGTGGACATGTGTAGGGGACACCTGGCTAATGACTGTAGGACTTTTGTAGGGGACACCTGGCTAATGACTGCAGGACATGTGTAGGGGACACCTGGCTAATGATTGGCACCCAACACAGCTGCTGGGTGTGTGTGTGGAGGGGGGACACTTCAGCACAATCCATTCTAGCACTGTATTCCCCCCCCCCGCCCAACCCTGACACAACCCCACCAACACGATGTCCACTACCAACAACACACTACTGTCCTAGCAAGACCCACAACAAAGTTCCCCTCCCCCACAACATAGCTCCCCTCCCCCACAACAAAGCTCCCCTCCCCCACAACAAAGCTCCCCTCCCCCACAACAAAGCTCCCCTCCCCCACAACAAAGCTCCCCTCCCCCACAACAAAGCTCCCCTCCCCCACAACATAGCTCCCCTCCCCCACAACAAAGCTCCCCTCCCCCACAACAAAGCCCCCCTCCCCCCACAACAAAGCCCCCCTCCCCCCACAACAAAGCTCCCCTCCCCCACAACAAAGCTCCCCTCCCCCACAACAAAGCTCCCCTCCCCCACAACAAAGCTCCCCTCCCCCACAACAAAGCTCCCCTCCCCCACAACATAGCTCCCCTCCCCCACAACAAAGCTCCCCTCCCCCACAACAAAGCCCCCCTCCCCCCACAACAAAGCTCCCCTCCCCCACAACAAAGCTCTCCTCCCCCACAACATAGCTCCCCTCCCCCACAACATAGCTCCCCTCCCCCACAACAAAGCTCCCCTCCCCCACAACAAAGCTCCCCTCCCCCACAACATAGCTCCCCTCCCCCACAACAAAGCTCCCCTCCCCCACAACAAAGCTCCCCTCCCCCACAACAAAGCTCCCCTCCCCCACAACAAAGCTCCCCTCCCCCACAACATAGCTCCCCTCCCCCACAACAAAGCTCCCCTCCCCACAACAAAGCTCCCCTCCCCCACAACATAGCTCCCCTCCCCCACAACAAAGCTCCCCTCCCCCACAACAAAGCTCCCCTCCCCCACAACAAAGCTCCCCTCCCCCACAACAAAGCTCCCCTCCCCCACAACAAAGCTCCCCTCCCCCACAACAAAGCTCCCCTCCCCCACAACAAAGCCCCCCTCCCCCACAACAAAGCTCCCCTCCCCCACAACAAAGCTCCCCTCCCCCACAACATAGCTCCCCTCCCCCACAACAAAGCTCCCCTCCCCCACAACAAAGCTCCCCTCCCCCACAACAAAGCTCCCCTCCCCCACAACAAAGCTCCCCTCCCCCACAACAAAGCTCCCCTCCCCCACAACATAGCTCCCCTCCCCCACAACAAAGCTCCCCTCCCCACAACAAAGCCCCCCTCCCCCACAACAAAGCTCCCCTCCCCACAACAAAGCCCCCCTCCCCCACAACAAAGCTCCCCTCCCCCACAACAAAGCTCCCCTCCCCCACAACAAAGCTCCCCTCCCCCACAACAAAGCTCCCCTCCCCCACAACAAAGCTCCCCTCCCCCACAACATAGCTCCCCTCCCCCACAACAAAGCTCCCCTCCCCCACAACAAAGCCCCCCTCCCCCCACAACAAAGCTCCCCTCCCCCACAACAAAGCTCCCCTCCCCCACAACAAAGCTCCCCTCCCCCACAACATAGCTCCCCTCCCCCACAACAAAGCTCCCCTCCCCCACAACAAAGCTCCACTCCCCCACAACAAAGCTCCCCTCCCCCACAACATAGCTCCCCTCCCCCACAACAAAGCTCCCCTCCCCCACAACAAAGCTCCCCTCCCCCACAACAAAGCTCCCCTCCCCCACAACAAAGCTCCCCTCCCCCACAACATAGCTCCCCTCCCCCACAACAAAGCTCCCCTCCCCACAACAAAGCTCCCCTCCCCCACAACATAGCTCCCCTCCCCCACAACAAAGCTCCCCTCCCCCACAACAAAGCTCCCCTCCCCCACAACAAAGCTCCCCTCCCCCACAACAAAGCTCCCCTCCCCCACAACAAAGCTCCCCTCCCCCACAACAAAGCTCCCCTCCCCCACAACAAAGCCCCCCTCCCCCCACAACAAAGCTCCCCTCCCCCACAACAAAGCTCCCCTCCCCCACAACATAGCTCCCCTCCCCCACAACAAAGCTCCCCTCCCCCACAACAAAGCTCCCCTCCCCCACAACAAAGCTCCCCTCCCCCACAACAAAGCTCCCCTCCCCCACAACAAAGCTCCCCTCCCCCACAACAAAGCTCCCCTCCCCCACAACAAAGCCCCCCTCCCCCCACAATAAAGCTCCCCTCCCCCACAACAAAGCCCCCCTCCCCCCACAACAAAGCTCCCCTTCCCCACAACAAAGCTCCCCTCCCCCACAACAAAGCTCCCCTCCCCCACAACAAAGCTCCCCTCCCCCACAACAAAGCTCCCCTCCCCCACAACAAAGCCCCCCTCCCCCCCACAACAAAGCTCCCCTCCCCCACAACAAAGCCCCCCTCCCCCCACAACAAAGCTCCCCTTCCCCACAACAAAGCTCCCCTCCCCCACAACAAAGCTCCCCTCCCCCACAACATAGCTCCCCTCCCCCACAATCCGTTCACGACCCCCGCATGACACCCCATGACAAGACTCCCAAGACACAACCCCTTCATGCTCCTTAACAAACACCTTCGACCCCTCAAACCTAACCCTATTGCAGGACTTTTCACCCAAACACAGTCATACCCCTCTCCCTGCTACTCAATCCCCCCCCCCCCACGGGACTAACCTTTGTCTTGATGCTGTCCTGGCTGTCTGTGAGAAAGATGGAAGAATTCTCGTCGCTGGCGGACATCTTGGAGGTGGCGCCCTGCAGGGCGGGGAAGAAGATGGAGTGGAGCAGGGCGGGTTTGGGGAGCTTCAGCTTGGGCGCCACATCCCTGGTCATCCGGAAGTAGGGGTCCTACAGGGGTCAGAGTATAAACATTAGGGGTCCTACAGGGGTCAGAGTATAAACATTAGGGGTCCTACAGGGGTCAGAGTATAAACATTAGGGGTCCTACAGGGGTCATAGTATAAACAGGGGATCAGACAGGCTACAGACAGGCTACAGACAGGCTACAGACAGGCTACAGACAGGCTACAGACAGGCTACAGACAGGCTACAGACAGGCTACAGACAGGCTACAGACAGGCTACAGGATACAGACAGGCTACAGACAGGCTACAGACAGGCTACAGACAGGCTACAGACAGGCTACAGGCAGGCTACAGACAGGCTACAGGATACAGACAGGCTACAGACAGGCTACAGACAGGCTACAGACAGGCTACAGACAGGCTACAGACAGGCTACAGACAGGCTACAGGCTACAGACAGGCTACAGACAGGCTACAGACAGGCTACAGACAGGCTACAGACAGGCTACAGGATACAGACAGGCTACAGGCAGGCTACAGACAGGCTACAGGCTACAGACAGGCTACAGACAGGCTACAGACAGGCTACAGACAGGCTATAGACAGGCTACAGACAGGCTATAGACAGGCTGCAGACAGGCTACAGACAGGCTACAGACAGGCTACAGACAGGCTACAGACAGGCTACAGACAGGCTGCAGACAGGCTACAGGCTACAGACAGGCTACAGGCTACAGACAGGCTACAGACAGGCTACAGACAGGCTACAGACAGGCTACAGACAGGCTACAGACAGGCTACAGACAGGCTACAGACAGGCTACAGACAGGCTACAGGCTACCGACCTGGTCTATGGCGCAGGGAATGAGACAGGGCAGGTCTGACCTGCCGCTGAAGATGTGCGGGAAAGCTGAACTGAAGCTGGGCGCCGCCTGTATGGCCGGGAAAGAGATTTTCCCGATGGAGTCGCTGTCGGTGAATCCAAAAATAGCCTTAGCCTGGTTGAAGGTCACGTGTTTCTCAATCTGGACAATGAGCTGGTAGAATTCTGGACATTGCCTGGACAAAAATAGTTGACGAAACGATCACGTGATAGGCCAGATACACTAACACTTCAAGTTCATCACAAGTTCATCCAGTGTTTCTTCCAGACTTTTGTTTTGTGTAGCACTTGATATTTTCGGGGGGGGGGGGGGGGGGGAGAGGGCGGACAACATTTCGGGTGGGGGGGGGCGAACACTGGTAAAAGTATACGTTATCTATATAAATTTCGTTTATATAGCTCATCAGAAGTTTAACGAAAGTTTGACGATCAAAAGTTTATGTACTGAAATATGTTTGCCTGCTTCTTTAGGGCTGTATCTTAAAGTTGTTGAGAATCTAACATCGACCAGTCTATTAGCGGACAACAAGAAAGTCAATCTTGTTTTTTAAATCAACCTTTAAAGTCGTCTCCTCAAATTTCTGCAGCGTAAATCCCCCATGGCGTGTGGGGGCGGGAGGGGGGGAATTTCTAAACACCCAGTCTAAAATTAGCCTTGATTAAAGTTTGTCTGGCGAGGTTGACATCAGACAAAACCAATTAGTTTAATTTGTTTTTGTCTTACACCGAGCCTCATTAGAACAGCAATTATTGACATCGAGGCTAACCTTTCCCGTCCAGAGAGATTTGAGAAGGGCGATCATCTCGGTTAGCCTACTTGATCGATTGTCATTCAGCGGCGACATTTTCTCGGAAATTTAAATAAATTCTTTTCTTGGAAAAAATAAACTTTTACAAACGTTACCGTCCAAAATAAAAGCCAAATAACATATTGGTTATGTTTAATGGTTAAATGGTACAACATACGACTCTTAACCCTAAAGTGGGGTGGCTAAAGTCTTGAGTTTGAATCCGTAGAATGTCCCTGAGTCCACCCAACTCTAATGGGTACCTAAGTCGCGTTTGAGAAAGTAAAAGCAGCCGGGCGTAGCGCTGACCACACAATCCCTTCATATGCCGGGTCACAGAAACATAAATTCTACTTCACTTGCACATGGAACTCAACTTTTTCTATAACTTGCCATTGCCAAAGACATGTAAATAGACAAGAAGTAAGAAACATGTGTGCCGGTCACTCACCCTATGTACCTGCCGGTCATTCTCTCCACCGAAAATTTAAAGTGCCCCCCCCCCTGAGAGAAAAGTCTTGAAGAAACACTGACCCCATGTAGCGTCACCCCCCCCCCCTGAGAGAAAAGTCTAGAAGAAACACTGACCCCATGTAGTTAAAGTTGCAGAAGATAAAAGTTTTCTCCATGTCGAAGCCTAGGGCGATGATGTCCTTCACATTCTCAAAGGCGATCTGCTTCATCCTGTCGATGGGGATGTCCTTCCAGAGAAACTTCTCGTCGTCAGTCACCTGGATGACTAGGGGGACGTTAAACGTTTCCTGTAGCCACCTGGGGGGAGGGGGGAATATGGGGGGGGGGGGAGTTTAGTGACGTGTTCAACAGAGTAGGGCATCTACACAACATGACAAGTTTTTGAGTTCAGAGAGATGTTAACTTAATGGTGAAGTAAAGTGTTAACTTACTGGGTGAAGTAAAGTGTTAACTTACTGGGTGAAGTAAAGTGTTAACTTACTGGGTGAAGTAAAGTGTTAACTTACTTGGTGAAGTAAAGTGTTAACTTACTGGGTGAAGTAAAGTTACTTGGTGAAGTAAAGTGTTAACTTACTGGGTGAAGTAAAGTTACTTGGTGAAGTAAAGTGTTAACTTACTGGGTGAAGTAAAGTGTTAACTTACTGGGTGAAGTAAAGTGTTAACTTACTGGGTGAAGTAAAGTTACTTGGTGAAGTAAAGTGTTAACTTACTGGGTGAAGTAAAGTTACTTGGTGAAGTAAAGTGTTAACTTACTGGGTGAAGTAAAGTGTTAACTTACTGGGTGAAGTAAAGTGTTAACTTACTGGGTGAAGTAAAGTTACTTGGTGAAGTAAAGTGTTAACTTACTGGGTGAAGTAAAGTGTTAACTTACTGGGTGAAGTAAAGTTACTTGGTGAAGTAAAGTGTTAACTTACTGGGTGAAGTAAAGTGTTAACTTACTGGGTGAAGTAAAGTTACTTGGTGAAGTAAAGTGTTAACTTACTGGGTGAAGTAAAGTGTTAACTTACTGGGTGAAGTAAAGTGTTAACTTACTGGGTGAAGTAAAGTGTTAACTTACTTGGTGAAGTAAAGTGTTAACTTACTGGGTGAAGTAAAGTTACTTGGTGAAGTAAAGTGTTAACTTACTGGGTGAAGTAAAGTTACTTGGTGAAGTAAAGTGTTAACTTACTGGGTGAAGTAAAGTGTTAACTTACTGGGTGAAGTAAAGTGTTAACTTACTGGGTGAAGTAAAGTTACTTGGTGAAGTAAAGTGTTAACTTACTGGGTGAAGTAAAGTTACTTGGTGAAGTAAAGTGTTAACTTACTGGGTGAAGTAAAGTGTTAACTTACTGGGTGAAGTAAAGTGTTAACTTACTGGGTGAAGTAAAGTTACTTGGTGAAGTAAAGTGTTAACTTACTGGGTGAAGTAAAGTGTTAACTTACTGGGTGAAGTAAAGTTACTTGGTGAAGTAAAGTGTTAACTTACTGGGTGAAGTAAAGTGTTAACTTACTGGGTGAAGTAAAGTTACTTGGTGAAGTAAAGTGTTAACTTACTGGGTGAAGTAAAGTGTTAACTTACTGGGTGAAGTAAAGTGTTAACTTACTGGGTGAAGTAAAGTGTTAACTTACTGGGTGAAGTAAAGTGTTAACTTACTTGGTGAAGTAAAGTGTTAACTTGCTTGGTGAAGTAAAGTTACTTGGTGAAGTAAAGTGTTAACTTACTGGGTGAAGTAAAGTGTTAACTTACTGGGTGAAGTAAAGTTACTTGGTGAAGTAAAGTGTTAACTTACTGGGTGAAGTAATGTGTTAACTTACTTGGTAAAGTAAAGTGTTAACTTGCTTGGTGAAGTAAAGTTACTTGGTGAAGTAAAGTGTTAACTTACTGGGTGAAGTAAAGTGTTAACTTACTGGGTGAAGTAAAGTTACTTGGTGAAGTAAAGTGTTAACTTACTGGGTGAAGTAATGTGTTAACTTACTTGGTAAAGTAAAATGTTAACTTACTTAGTGAAGAGGAAGGGGACGAGGTGGCCCATGTGCATGGCCTCAGACGATGGCCCACGGCCAGTGTAGAGATAGAAGGGCTTTTTCTGCTCGTAAAGGTCAAGGATACGCTCCATCTCCCTGTGAAACAGGGGACATGTTATGAAGGTCAAGGTTACAACTATCGACGTGTTGAATGATTCGTGTGTTGAGTGATTCGTGTGTTGAATGATTCGTGTGTTGAGTGATTCGTGTGTTGAATGACTCGTGTGTTGAATGATTCGTGTGTTGAATGATTCGTGTGTTAAATGATTCGTGGGTTGAATGATTCGTGTGTTGAATGATTCGTGTGTTGAATGACTCGTGTGTTGAAAGACTCGTGTGTTGAATGATTCGTGTGTTGAATGATTCGTGTGTTGAATGATTCGTGTGTTGAATGATTCGTGTGTTGAATGATTCGTGTGTTGAATGATTCGTGTGTTGAATGATTCGTGTGTTGAATGATTTGTGTGTTGAATGATTCGTGTGTTGAATGATTCGTGTGTTGAATGATTCGTGTGTTAAATGATTCGTGTGTTGAATGATTCGTGTGTTGAATGATTCGTGTGCTGAATGATTCGTGTGTTGAATGATTCGTGGTCAAGCTGATATGTGTACAAAAGGTGTGCATGTACACAAAGTATTTGCTTAGCAGGTATAAAGGGAAATGACCGCATCCGGTTCTATAACTGACCTGTGTGAGAAGAAGATGCCACGCTTGAGGAAGTAGTGGGTGGGTTTACCTGTGACCTTCTCAATTCTGCTGATCAGCTGGTGGTCGATTGGAACACTCCCAAACTTGACTGGTAAAAGAATTAAATTTACAATGGTGTGGATGGCAGGACTACGTGCTGTGTGAGTTCTGTATGTTCTATATGGGGGTGTTCTATGGGGTAGAGATTTAGTGGGACATGCGCTGTAAAGCTGTGACTTGAGACGCTAACTGTAAAGGCTCTGGGACGGTGTGTTGGTGTTGCTCAGATTAACTAGCTATTTAGCTAAACCTACTCGCCAGACAGCATGGTCAAGGGACTAACCCCATCCAGAGACCCACCTTAACCCCCATATAGTGAACCCACCTCATCCAGTGACCCACCCCCAGCCAGTGACCCACCCACACCCAGTGACCCCCAACCAGTGACCCACCTTAACGCCCATATAGTGAACCCACCTCATCCAGTGACCCACCCCCACCCAGTGACCCACCCCCACCCAGTGACCCACCCCCACCCAGTGACCCACCCCCACCCAGTGACTTACCCACACCCAGTGACCCCCAGCCAGTGACCCACCCCCACCCAGTGACCAACCCACACCCAGTGACCCACCCACACCCAGTGACCCCCAGCCAGTGACCCACCCCCAGCCAGTGACCCACCCCCAGCCAGTGACCCACCCCCACCCAGTGACCCACCCACACCCAGTGACCCACCCCCAGCCAGTGACCCACCCCCAGCCAGTGACCCACCCCCAGCCAGTGACCCACCCCCAGCCAGTGACCCACCCCCAGCCAGTGACCCACCCCCAGCCAGTGACCCACCCCCAGCCAGTGACCCACCCCCAGCCAGTGACCCACCCCCAGCCAGTGACCCACCCCCACCCAGTGACCAACCCACACCCAGTGACCCACCCACACCCAGTGACCCCCAGCCAGTGACCCACCCCCAGCCAGTGACCCACCCCCAGCCAGTGACCCACCCCCACCCAGTGACCCACCCACACCCAGTGACCCCCAGCCAGTGACCCACCCCCAGCCAGTGACCTAGCCAGTGACCCACCCCCAGCCAGTGACCCACCCCCAGCCAGTGACCCACCCCCAGCCAGTGACCCACCCACACCCAGTTACCCACCCCCAGCCAGTGACCCACCCCCAGCCAGTGACCCACCCCCAGCCAGTGACCCACCCCCAGCCAGTGACCCACCCCCAGCCAGTGACCCACCCCCAGCCAGTGACCCACCCCCAGCCAGTGACCCACCCCCAGCCAGTGACCCACCCACACCCAGTTACCCACCCCCAGCCAGTGACCCACCCCCAGCCAGTGACCCACCCCCAGCCAGTGACCCACCCCCAGCCAGTGACCCACCCCCAGCCAGTTACCCCCAGCCAGTGACCCACCCCCAGCCAGTGACCCACCCCCAGCCAGTGACCCACCCCCAGCCAGTTACCCCCAGCCAGTGACCCACCCACACCCAGTTACCCACCCCCAGCCAGTGACCCACCCCCAGCCAGTGACCCACCCCCAGCCAGTTACCCCCAGCCAGTGACCCACCCCCAGCCAGTGACCCACCCCCAGCCAGTGACCCACCCCCAGCCAGTTACCCCCAGCCAGTGACCCACCCACACCCAGTTACCCCCAGCCAGTGACCCACCCCCAGTTAGTGACCCACCCCCAGACAGTGACCTAGCCAGTGACCCACCCCCAGCCAGTGACCCACCCCCAGCCAGTGACCCACCCCCAGCCAGTGACCCACCCCCAGCCAGTGACCCACCCCCAGCCAGTGACCCACCCCCAGCCAGTGACCCACCCCCAGCCAGTGACCCACCCCCAGCCAGTGACCCACCCCCAGCCAGTGACCCACCCCCAGCCAGTTACCCCCAGCCAGTGACCCACCCACACCCAGTTACCCACCCCCAGCCAGTGACCCACCCCCAGCCAGTGACCCACCCCCAGCCAGTGACCCACCCCCAGCCAGTGACCCACCCCCAGCCAGTGACCCACCCCCAGCCAGTGACCCACCCCCAGCCAGTGACCCACCCACACCCAGTTACCCCCAGCCAGTGACCCACCCCCAGTTAGTGACCCACCCCCAGACAGTGACCCACCCCCAGCCAGTGACCCACCCCCAGCCAGTTACCCCCCAGCCAGTGACCCACCCCCAGTAGTGACCCACCCCCAGCCAGTTACCCCCAGCCAGTGACCCACCCCCAGCCATGACCCACCCCCACCCAGTGACCCACCCCCACACAAACTAGACGACTGCTTAATTCAATTAAAAAAAAACAAATGATTTTTTCCTCCAACACACCAGGTCGATAAGACGTGATTTAATTTGATCGGATCGATTTTCTCGTCAGATCAGAGATAAACACGGCAATAGAATGTCAGAACATGCTGACTTGATCTTAGCGGTGGAGTGGGGGACAGGTTTTTCCCAATAGAAAGCATATCAGTGAATGTTTAAATTAGCGGTGTGCTACCTAACCTGTGCCGCCCCCTCCCTCAGGTGAATGCGTCAACATGGCTGGTGTCTGCTGATTAGTGTTGAATACAAATCTTGAATCGCTACTTAACCGATATGATCAATATCACGAATAGCCTGCTATTGTATCAGGGACGTCCATAAGTGACGTTAGGCAATTTTAGTGACATTCAACTCACCCCCCCCCCCCACTCACAAAAACCACATTATAGACCCTCACAAAATACCACATTATAGACCCTCACAAAATACCACACCATGGACCCTCACAAAATACCACGCTATAGACCCTCACAAAAATTTCCCACTATAGACCCTCACAAAATACCACACCATGGACCCTCACAAAATACCACGCTATAGACCCTCACAAAATACCACGCTATAGACCCTCACAAAATACCACACTATAGACCCTCACAAAATACCGCACTATAGACCCTCACAAAATACCACACTAAAGACCCTCACAAAATACCACGCTATAAACCCTCACAAAATACCACACTATAGACCCTCACAAAATACTACACTAAAGACCCTCACAAAATACCACACTATAGACCCTCACAAAATACCACACTAAAGACCCTCACAAAATACTACACTAAAGACCCTCACAAAATACCGCACTATAGACCCTCACAATCTACCACACAATGGACCCTCACAAACAGTGGCGTAGGCAGGGGGGGTTAGGGGGGTCATAACCCCCCCCCCCCCCCATAGACCCCTCGGTATATATAAAAAGTATGAGGGGGGGTGCAAATCAAAAGTTTGAGGGTGGGGGTGCAAATCGAAAGTTTGAGGGGGGGGTGCAAATCAAAAGTTTGAGGGGGGGGTGCAAATCGAAAGTTTGAGGGGGGTGTGCAAATCGAAAGTTTGAGGGGGGGGTGCAAATCGAGAGTTTGAGGGGGGGGGTGCAAATCGAAAGTTTGAGGGGGGGGGGGGGGTGCAAATCAAAAGTTTGAGGGGGGGGGGGTGCAAATCGAAAGTTTTGTCCACGGGTAAAAATTGGAACCCCCCCCCCCCTTGAGACGATCCTGGCTACGCCACTGCTCACAAAGTACCACACTATAGACCCTCACAAAATACCACACTATAGACCCTCACAAAATACTACACTAAAGACCCTCACAAAATACCACACTATAGACCCTCACAAAATACCACACTAAAGACCCTCACAAAATACTACACTAAAGACCCTCACAAAATACCGCACTATAGACCCTCACAATCTACCACACAATGGACCCTCACAAAGTACCACACTATAGACCCTCACAAAATACCACACTATAGACCCTCACAAAATACTACACTAAAGACCCTCACAAAATACCACACCATGGACCCTCACAAAATACCACACCATGGACCCTCACATAAAACTGGTGTCAACTCCAGCCCCAACTAACGATTGTTCTAGAATAAAGGTGGGGGTTTATTCGTTCTGAATTGTTCCTCATTATTCCAAAACCCCGCACCCCCCCCCTCCACTGCACGTGGCAGATGACAACCACGTAGATGTGCGTGACGTACTTTAAGAAGACCCCCTAACCCCCCCCCCACCCTAGACCCACACCTCACGTGACCAAATCAAACTATTTCACCTAGTTCATCCCTTGCACAGACAACATACTGATGACGTCACTTCCTCCACACACAAACATCCTCACATAAAATCAATCAATAATTTACCAATCAATTTAGCATAATCGATGCCGGTCACCTCCTCCGCGCTAACGTCCCATGGGGTGACGATGTCCTCCCCACCCTCCACGCTCAGTTTTTCTATGTCCCCCAGGTCTTGCGCCATGGTGGTAGGACTTCAGCTGTTGATCAAAGGAGGACATAAAGCTAAACAAATGTTTGGAGAACATAAAGCTAAACAAATGTTTGGAGAACATAAAGCTAAACAAATGTTTGGAGAACATAAAGCTAAACAAATGTTTGGAGAACATAAAGCTAAACAAATGTTTGGAGAACATAAAGCTAAACAAATGTTCGGAGAACACAAAGCTAAACAAATGTTTGAAGAACACAAAGCTAAACAAATGTTTGGAGAACATAAAGCTAAACAAATGTTTGGAGAACATAAAGCTAAACAAATGTTTGGAGAACACAAAGCTAAACAAATGTTTGGAGAACATAAAGCTAAACAAATGTTTGGAGAACATAAAGCTAAACAAATGTTTGGAGAACATAAAGCTAAACAAATGTTTGGAGAACATAAAGCTAAACAAATGTTTGGAGAACATAAAGCTAAACAAATGTTTGGAGAACATAAAGCTAAACAAATGTTTGGAGAACATAAAGCTAAACAAATGTTCGGAGAACACAAAGCTAAACAAATGTTCGGAGAACACAAAGCTAAACAAATGTTTGAAGAACACAAAGCTAAACAAATGTTTGAAGAACACAAAGCTAAACAAATGTTTGGAGAACACAAAGCTAAACAAATGTTTAGAGAACACAAAGCTAAACAAATGTTTAGAGAACACAAAACTAAACAAATGTTTGAAGAACACAAAGCTAAACAAATGTTTGGAGAACACAAAGCTAAACAAATATTTAGAGAACACAAAACTAAACAAATGTTTGGAGAACACAAAGCTAAACAAATGTTTGAAGAACACAAAGCTAAACAAATGTTTGGAGAACATAAAGCTAAACAAATGTTCGGAGAACACAAAGCTAAACAAATGTTCGGAGAACACAAAGCTAAACAAATGTTTGAAGAACACAAAGCTAAACAAATGTTTGGAGAACATAAAGCTAAACAAATGTTCGGAGAACACAAAGCTAAACAAATGTTCGGAGAACACAAAGCTAAACAAATGTTTGAAGAACACAAAGCTAAACAAATGTTTGAAGAACACAAAGCTAAACAAATGTTTGGAGAACACAAAGCTAAACAAATGTTTAGAGAACACAAAGCTAAACAAATGTTTAGAGAACACAAAACTAAACAAATGTTTGAAGAACACAAAGCTAAACAAATGTTTGGAGAACACAAAGCTAAACAAATATTTAGAGAACACAAAACTAAACAAATGTTTGGAGAACACAAAGCTAAACAAATGTTTAGAGAACACAAAGCTAAACAAATGTTTGGAGAACACAAAGCTAAACAAATGTTTGAAGAACACAAAGCTAAACAAATGTTTGGAGAACACAAAGCTAAACAAATGTTTGGAGAACATAAAGCTAAACAAATGTTTGGAGAACACAAAGCTAAACAAATGTTTGGAGAACACAAAGCTAAACAAATGTTTGAAGAACACAAAGCTAAACAAATGTTTGGAGAACACAAAGCTAAACAAATGTTTGAAGAACACAAAGCTAAACAAATGTTTGGAGAACACAAAGCTAAACAAATGTTTGGAGAACACAAAGCTAAAAGTAGATCATTATTCAAAGATGCTTTTTTCTTTGCCAGAAGATTATAGTCTTTAAAAAAAGTTATTAAAGTAATTTTTGCTGTTAACTAAATATTTTAAAATTTAAATATGTATTATTATCTTATAACCAAAATTTTTGAATGTATTACCGTAATATCAGAAATTCGGTTCACCGAATGCTTCGAAGAAATGACCAGAAGTGTTGCACGCCTAACTCGACGACAGAACTCTCCACCCCAATAAGACCAACACATACAGCCAGCTATTTTATAAGTTCAATTTTTTCTGGCCGATTTTTCGTGGAAAATTGACTTGCCACGTCTCAATGGGCACCTGGCCAACGGGTGCGGAAATTTGTCGTCTGCTCATTGTAAATATATACAGTAAGCCATTCGCTTTTGTTGTTGTTTTAGTTTTGTTTTTATTTTTAAAGAAAATTTTATTTTCGGTGAAAAGTTTTCAGATTTCATAATTTTGTGATTTTGTACCCCCCCCCCCCCCCCCACCCTCTGTGACTAAATCCTGCCTACGCCAGTGTAGGACACTGAAATAAGTGCACGGTGAGGTTGGTCAGTGCTGGTCAAAGCTGGTCAAAGCTGGTAAATGCTGGTAAATGCTTGTCAAAGCTGGTAAATGCTGGTAAATGCTTGTCAAAGCTATGCATTTGTTGTGCTGATGGGGTGAACTGTCTAAATAATTAGGGAAGCTAGGGGGGGGGGAGTAGAAATCTAGCGCCGCCCTCACAGATATGTGTCTAAAGGGGCAGTGAACTGTGTATCTCGTTTTTTACCATTTGTGCCAAGTTATCTCCTCTTTCCTGTCTAAATATAGCTCATGTGAAGCGACGTGTTTTCCAGGAAGCCACTGCTTCTAAATTACAATGGCAGCTTCTGGTAAAATATAATACGTGGTTTAAGAAAACAATAACTAGTTTAAAAGAATCGAAAAAGTGGAGGGCGGTAACTACGTAAAAACAACTTGACAAATGAAATAATTTTAAACAATTTATGTAAAAAAAAAAAGAGTTAGAATCCCAACTACGGAATGCTGACCTAAAGCATTCACGAGTCGTTTTTATTGATTTTGTTCGTTTCATTGCAGGAAAATTTTAGGTACGAATTTCCTAAGAAAATATGTCAGCACATTTTCCAGGAACAGAATTCCCCTCACACCTAAAAGCTCGTCTTGTAATGTAACGTTAATCACGTGACCACACTCCTACCTCACGATGTTAGAAACAAGTTTGGCCGAGGGTGGCTCTATACTCTATAGAGTTAACAATGCTACATCCAGCTGTGTTAAAAACCTACTAAAGGTAAACATCGTTACTATTATATGTGAACAGTGTAAAGCTATGCGAGGGGGGGGGGGGGGGCAACTGAAGACGTTGCAAAATAAACATTAATAGTTTTTTGTTGGGGGGGGGGGGGGGGTGACACCAAACAGTGCCGCACCGGGTGACATCCGACCTAGCGACGCCACTGTTACCGGGTGACATCCGACCTAGCGACGCCACTGCCTGAATGGTGCTATGTGAGGAGGTGACCATTCGCTTCGTTGGTCGTGTTCTTGTTGTCTAGTTTGGTGGACAGTTGAAGGAAAGGAAACATTCAAACACTTTGCCGTGGTTGAGTAGATACATAGTTGTAGTATTTGATTTAACCGTCGTGGGTTAGGGTTAGGCGTGGATGTGTGGCTACAGGGAATATGCCTCATCGGCTGTACATTTATCATTTAGGTAAAAACACAGACCAACTTTTCCTGAAATGCTGACTCGTGAGTTTAAAAATAGTTTTCTTGTTAGGCTTACGGTGCAACGTTTCACTAAGAAAATGCGGGGTAAAAACATATTAAATGCGGAAATTCCCGATTGACTGCTGTAGCAAGGGAATTACTTTCGTTCTATTTATAGGCATGACGTGGTTGTAATGAAGTGGGTAGCTATGACTTACCAAAACTACCATTAACTTTCTTTCTGGGGTAGTGTAGGCCAAGTTAAATACTGAAGTAAATAATTAGCAACTGTATAAAATACTACACTATTGTTTGTGTTTGCTGATGTTTGTTTTAGAGCAGCATCTCTTGTGTGGCAGACATACCCCACACGGAACTTGTGATGTTATAAGGTGAAGGAGGGCGGCAAAAATGTAGTCACACTGGGGCGCTGACATGAGAACCCGTGTCAATGGGTTTGTGACAGGCTCACAGGTTTAATAGGACGACAGGTCGGGGTTGTTCATTAGCGGCTACAGGTGTTGTCTATCAGCAGCTACAGGTGTTGTTCATTAGCAGCTACAGGTGTTGTCTATTAGAAGCTACAGGTGTTGTTCATTAGCAGCTACAGGTGTTGTCTATTAGAAGCTACAGGTGTTGTCTATTAGCAGCTACAGGTGTTGTCTATTAGAAGCTACAGGTGTTGTCTATTAGCAGCTACAGGTGTTGTCTATTAGCAGCTACAGGTGTTGTCTATTGTGTAAGCGTCCATGATTATTGTTCTCACGTGATGGTATATGGTATTGGGTCACGTGACTGTGTAGGTCGGTACATGGACAACAGAGCATTATGGGCTAATGTAGGGGCATTGTGGGCTAATGTAGGGGCATTGTGGGCTAATGTAGGGACATTGTGGGCTAATGTAGGGGCATTGTGGGCTAATGTAGGGGCATTGTGGGCTAATGTAGGGACATTGTGGGCTAATGTAGGGACATTGTGGGCTAATGTAGGGGCATTGTGGGCTAATTTAGGGACATTGTGGGCTAATGTAGGGACATTGTGGGCTAATGTAGGGGCATTGTGGGCTAATGTAGGGGCATTGTGGGCTAATGTAGGGACATTGTGGGCTAATGTAGGGGCATTGTGGGCTAATGTAGGGGCATTGTGGGCTAATGTAGGGACATTGTGGGCTAATGTAGGGACATTGTGGGCTAATGTAGGGGCATTGTGGGCTAATGTAGGGGCATTGTGGGCTAATGTAGGGACATTGTGGGCTAATGTAGGGGCATTGTGGGCTAATGTAGGGGCATTGTGGGCTAATGTAGGGGCATTGTGGGCTAATGTAGGGGCATTGTGGGCTAATGTAGGGGCATTGTGGGCTAATGTAGGGACATTGTGGGCTAATGTAGGGACATTGTGGGCTAATGTAGGGGCATTGTGGGCTAATGTAGGGGCATTGTGGGCTAATGTAGGGACATTGTGGGCTAATGTAGGGGCATTGTGGGCTAATGTAGGGGCATTGTGGGCTAATGTAGGGGCATTGTGGGCTAATTTAGGGACATTGTGGGCTAATGTAGGGGCATTGTGGGCTAATGTAGGGACATTGTGGGCTAATGTAGGGACATTGTGGGCTAATGTAGGGACATTGTGGGCTAATGTAGGGGCATTGTGGGCTAATGTAGGGGCGTTGTGGGCTAATGTAGGGACATTGTGGGCTAATGTAGGGGCATTGTGGGCTAATGTAGGGGCATTGTGGGCTAATGTAGGGACATTGTGGGCTAATGTAGGGACATTATGGGCTAATACTGGAGCGATAATGTTGACTTCTACAGGTCATAGTGTTCAGAGTTTCTTCCAGGCATCTCCTCCAAAAAGTCTACCGCCCCCCCCCCCCCCCCCCCCGAAAATTTCAAGTGCCCCCCCCCCCCCTCCCCGGAGAAAAAAGTCTGGAAGAAACACTGATAGTGTTCACATGGCTTCATGATATTTAGGGAAGTGGAGACTTATCCCATCAGTAAATTGTGTTATTGAGAGAATTTGGGCTGGGAAAAATCATTCCATAATTTTATTAAACTCGATACTCCTCAATAAGCTAAATCTCTAGGCCAGATCTAGGACTACTAATTGATTTCTCTTCATTGTCAACTAAGCAAAATGTTTGACTAACTCAAGTTCTAATTTTCCTAGATAGTCTATATAGGCAGTATAGAAATACAATTGGTAGTAAGCCAAAGGCTGCCAATGTAATTTGAGTTCTTGAAAAGGTGGGGGGAGGTGTTAAAAAGTAGCCCTATTAATTATAGATATGGTCGATGGCATTGCTATAAAATATTAAATAAATCGGTCGGGAATAAGTGTGGAACAACTAAATAGTAACATTGTCCCATCTGCCTAAATAACTTTTCTACAGACATGTTAGTGGTTATTTATAAAACAGGTGGGCTGAGGTTATTGACGTTCATTTGACCCGAAATAAAATCACGTGATCTTTTCACTTCCTCACATGACCGTTACAAAATGGCGACGCGCAGAGGCAGCTTGAAATCTCTGCTGCTTTCATTATGTATTGTATTTACTTGTTCCAACGCAGCAGTTACACAACTATGGGTCGTGTATGACAGCATTGGACAAACCTTCAAAATTAGTAACGTTTCACAATCCGACTATATCGCAGTGGCCACTTTTGATAACACTGTCAATCAAACAGGGTAAGGAAACTAGGTAATCTATCGTTTTGGGTACGTAAAATCGCCCGCGACTAGTAATGTGAAAGACAGGTGACTCCTTAAATTTTAATAATTATTTCACATTTTGAGGAGGATTTATGTTTTGAAAACTACAAAAATGTTTCCTTGTTTCATTTATGTACCTGTTTTCAAACAATTGAATTAAAACTTTTCAATAATAGATGAAGACTAGCGATGTTTCCAACAGATGCAACCATGTTCATTTACTATAGCAGCCATCTTGTTTAAGTTCTTTCTTTGTTAACTTAAAGCACAAGATTCAGGGGAAGGCAACTCTATTTTACAAATGGCTGCTGTTTATATAGGAAATCCTGCTCGTAAACACTGCTGTTTAAAGTTAATTTCTTGCCTATATTGATATATTTAGCTATTGATTTAGGTTTATTATTCATTTATCTATAATATTTGACACAAATATATCAAAATATACAACTATTAAAGCCTTGACAATGAGGTAACTTTTTCGTACATTAGAAGCCGCGGGCGATTTTACGTACCCAAAACGATAGATTACCGGAAACTAGGCACTAGCTATAGCTATTTAATAGACTAATACTGTAATACATCTATCCGCTATTGTTTTCGGTGCGTAAAATCGTCTGAAATGTGCGAAAAAGTTACCTCATTGAGTCATTGTCAAGGCTTTAAACTTTAATAGAAGTATATTGTGATATATTTGTGTCGAATGTTATAAATACATGAATAATAAACCTAAATCAATAGGTAAATATATCAATATAGGCAAGAAATTAACTTTAAACAGCAGTGTTTGCTAGCCGCCAGGATTTATATAAAAAGCGGCCATCTGTAAGTGGCTTCCCCTGAATCTTGCTCTATAAGATAACAATTAAAAAAAAAACAAGATGCCTGCTATAGTAAATGAGCATGGTTGCATCTGTTGGAAACATCGCTAGTCTTCATTTATTACTGAAAAGTTTTAGTTCAATTGTTTAAAAACAGACATAAATGAAACAAGGAAACATTTTTGTATTTTTCAAAACATAAATCCTCCTCAAAATGTAAAATAATTATTAAAATTTAAGGAGTCACCTGTTTTTCACATTACTAGTCGCGGGCGATTTTACGTACCTAAAACGATAGATTACCGGAAACTAGTTCAAACTACCACACTTAACTACACTACCACTCTACTTTTAGAGAGTGACTAATCTAGTTCTAGACTCTAGACTAGTAGTGACCTATTGGGGCATAATTAGGCTATTACCTAAGTACCTACTAACTACACTACTCATCACTATTATTATATTTGTCTTAAATGTTGGCTTTGACCAGATGGGCCAAGCTAGACATCACAACAACATCTGGAGTCAATCGCAAGTACTCAGATCTTCAGCAGTCTTATGCTGCTGGCTTTGTGGAGGGCCACATCACAAGGTAGGAAAATGTTTGTTTGTTACAGAGTTGGGGCATGGCGTGGCCTAGAGGTAGAGGCTGCACTGCTAACCTGATAGTCGCAATTTAAAAACGGGTTCAAGTCGGTAGAATGTCCCTGAGTCCACATAGCTCTGATGGTTATCTAGCTCATGTTGGGACACAAAAGTGGCTGGGCATAGTGCTAACCACACTATCCCCTTGTAAGCAGAGGCCATTGGGCACAAACTGGAAAAGATGATGATAGAGTTAAGGTTTATGTTAAAGACTGAGTTAACTACTTTGAAATTAGATTTATATTTGTAGTTGATTCTTGTTACATTAAGTCATTGTCTAATATTACGAGACTAAAATAACTTTACTTATTTCATCTCCACATTACATGATTTCCTATCCTGTAATTCAGGTCTTTAATTGGAATGCACTGGATTAACACAGCAGCCGGCTTCTGTCCTGAGCCATTGTCTAACCAGTGCCATGAGCTGAAGAAGTTTCTAGAACAAAACTGGGCCTGGATGCTCCAGCAGATTAGTGCAGCCGGTCAACAGAGTCCGTACTGGTATCATGTAAGACCTGAATTTCCTATGGTTGTTTATTTACTTATTTCTTACTATTATGTAAGGCTTGTTAAAATGCATCTGGTTGTTTTTTATTTATTACAGTACTTGAAACATTTTAGAAATAATTTAATTTTTAGCAGACAAAAACCCATGGTTTATTTTATATTTTTTTATGATGTTCTCCCAAATTTAAACAATTTAAAAAAAAACTTATTTTAAAAAAGGTGTTGTAGAAGTTCTTTAGTTAAAACATAAACTTTGTAACTAATTAACTGTGTTTAGAATGTAATGTGAATTATTTACAATACACAATTGAATGAAGAAAGTGTATTTTCATCTGAGTTGTGTAACATCTTCACCAGGTCAACTTGTTTCTTCAACAAGCTGTGGGGCTACAAGATGGCTACTCAAACTATCCCGGCTATCTTAACATGGACATTGATGTCTTGGGGCTATAGTAAGTGGACTGATAGGTCCTATATGGACATTGATGTCTTGGGGCTATAGTAAGTGGACTGATAGGTCCTATATGGACATTGATGTCTTGGGGCTATAGTAAGTGGACTGATAGGTCCTATATGGACATTGATGTCTTGGGGCTATAGTAAGTGGACTGATAGGTCCTATATGGACATTGATGTCTTGGGGCTATAGTAAGTGGACTGATAGGTCCTATATGGACATTGATGTCTTGGGGCTATAGTAAGTGGACTGATATGTCCTATATGGACATTGATGTCTTGGGGCTATAGTAAGTGGACTGATAGGTCCTATATGGACATTGATGTCTTGGGGCTATAGTAAGTGGACTAATGGGTCCTATATGGACATTGATGTCTTGGGGCTATAGTAAGTGGACTGATATGTCCTATATGGACATTGATGTCTTGGGGCTATAGTAAGTGGACTGATAGGTCCTATATGGACATTGATGTCTTGGGGCTATAGTAAGTGGACTGATAGGTCCTATATGGACATTGATGTCTTGGGGCTATAGTAAGTGGACTGATATGTCCTATATGGACATTGATGTCTTGGGGCTATAGTAAGTGGACTGATATGTCCTATATGGACATTGTCTTGAGGCTATAGTAAGTGGACTGATAGGTCCTATATGGACATTGATGTCTTGGGGCTATAGTAAGTGGACTAATGGGTCCTATATGGACATTGATGTCTTGGGCCTATAGTTAGTAGACTGATATGGTCCTGCTACTTATCAACACCTTTAGTTTTTACATCTTTACATTTACTTCTTTTTTTTCCATCATTCTCTATCCTTGATTTAAAAGATGGCATTTTGTTACCATCATTCTCTATCCATGATTTAAAAGATGGGATTTTGTTTCCAGTTTCTTCCAGGTGGGGGGTGACATGGAGGACCTGGGAGAAATCTTCCCGTCGTTGTCAAAGTTCAGGTCCAGCCCTGACGCTGACGACAGTTGGGATGTAGGTCGAGGTCACTGCTCGGCGTTGCTGCGTCTGCTGCCAGACTTCTCTGACCTGTACGTATCGCAGGACACCTGGAGTGATCTCCCCTCCATGTTGAGGGTACTCAAGCGTTACAGCCTTGACCTTCACTTGCTGCCTCAGTATGACAGTAAGTCAACTCTTGGGTCAAAGGTCAGATAGATAGATGTCACAAATCTAGCAGCTGTAGCATGACAGTAAGTTAACTCTTGGTCAGATAGATAGAGGTCACAAATCTAGCAGCTGTAGTATGACAGTAAGTCAACTCTAGGGTCAAAGGTCAGATAGAAAGAGGTCACAAATCTAGCAGCCGTAGTATGACAGTAAGTCAACTCTTGGGTCAAAGGTCAGATAGATAGAGGTTACAAATCTAGCAGCCGTAGTATGACAGTAAGTCAACTCTTGGGTCAAAGGTCAGATAGATAGAGGTTACATATCTAGCAGCTGTAGCATGACAGTAAGTCAACTCTTGGGTCAAAGGTCAGATAGATAGAGGTTACAAATCTAGCAGCCGTAGTATGACAGTAAGTCAACTCTTGGGTCAAAGGTCAGATAGATAGAGGTTACAAATCTAGCAGCTGTAGCATGACAGTAAGTCAACTCTTGGGTCAAAGGTCAGATAGATAGAGGTTACAAATCTAGCAGCCGTAGTATGACAGTAAGTCAACTCTTGGGTCAAAGGTCAGATAGATAGAGGTTACAAATCTAGCAGCTGTAGCATGACAGTAAGTCAACTCTTGGGTCAAAGGTCAGATAGATAGAGGTTACAAATCTAGCAGCCGTAGTATGACAGTAAGTCAACTCTTGGGTCAAAGGTCAGATAGATAGAGGTTACAAATCTAGCAGCTGTAGTATGACAGTAAGTCAACTCTTGGGTCAAAGGTCAGATAGATAGAGGTTACAAATCTAGCAGCTGTAGCATGACAGTAAGTCAACTCTTGGGTCAAAGGTCAGATAGATAGAGGTTACAAATCTAGCAGCTGTAGTATGACAGTAAGTCAACTCTTGGGTCAAAGGTCAGATAGATAGAGGTTACAAATCTAGCAGCTGTAGCATGACAGTAAGTCAACTCTTGGGTCAAAGGTCAGATAGATAGAGGTTACAAATCTAGCAGCTGTAGTATGACAGTAAGTCAACTCTTGGGTTAAAGGTCAGATAGATAGAGGTTACAAATCTAGCAGCTGTAGCATACATGATGGGGCGTCCCCTGTTGATGACCTCCAGGAATGAAGCCTTCTGTTTGGTAACTTGGTTAATAATGAAACAGTCTTGATTAAGTTAACTGATTACCCACTGTCATATGGATGTCATCAGTGGAGGATTCATGACCCATGTTGCTCAATTATGCTATCATGAATTGTTTCACTGCCTGTTGATCCAAGTTTTTAACAATTTTTCCAGTCGCCATCGCAGGTCACACCATGACTTTTTCCTCCTACCCTGGAGTCCTCATGTCTGGGGATGATTTCTACCTCATCTCTTCTGGACTGGTCAGTGCTTAGTATAACAACTTTGATAACTTTCCATTAATCAAACACAAATGTACTTGGTTAATATGGTCACCAAACCTAATGAGTGAATGTGGTGACCTAATGAGTGAATGTGGTGACCAAACCTAATGAGTGAATGTGGTGACCAAACCTAATGAGTGAATGTGGTGACCAAACCTAATGAGTGAATGTGGTGACCTAATGAGTGAATGTGGTGACCTAACCTAGTGAATGTGGTGACCTAATGAGTGAATGTGGTGACCAAACCTAGTGAATGTGGTGACCTAATGAGTGAATGTGGTGACCTAATGAGTGAATGTGGTGACCTAATGAGTGAATGTGGTGACCTAATGAGTGAATGTGGTGACCTAATGAGTGAATGTGGTGACCTAATGAGTGAATGTGGTGACCAAACCTAGTGAATGTGGTGTCCAGACCTAATGAGTGTATGTGGTGACCTAATGAGTGAATGTGGTGACCTAATGAGTGACTGTGGTGACCTAATGAGTGAATGTGGTGACCTAATGACGGAATGCAGTGACCAAACCTAGTGAATGTGGTGACCTAATGAGTGAATGTGGTGACCTAATGAGTGAATGTGGTGACCTAATGAGTGAATGTGGTGACCTAATGAGTGAATGTGGTGACCTAATGACGGAATGCAGTGACCAAACCTAGTGAATGTGGTGACCTAATGAGTGAATGTGGTGACCTAATGAGTGAATGTGGTGACCTAATGAGTGAATGTGGTGACCTAATGAGTGAATGTGGTGACCTAATGAGTGAATGTGGTGACCTAATGAGTGAATGTGGTGACCTAATGAGTGTATGACCTACAGCTGAGCCAGGAGACGACCATTGGCAACTCCAATCCTGACCTGCTCAAGTACATCACCTACAGCTCCGTGCTGGAGGGGATACGCAGCATGGTGGCCAACAGGCTGGCGGCCTCGGGGAAAGAATGGGCCGACACTTTCTCACAGTTCAACAGTGGGACGTAAGTCAGCACAACATTTTTTTTAGTAGAACAAAGAATAATTGGCCTTGGGATTCATTTTGTTGTTGGGATTAAACATTTTTTTTAGTAGAACAAAGAATAATTGGCCTTAGGATTCATTTTGTTGTTGGGATTAAACATTTTTTTTAGTAGAACAAAGAATAATTGGCCTTAGGATTCATTTTGTTGTTGGGATTAAACATTTTTTTTAGTAGAACAAAGAATAATTGGCCTTAGGATTCATTTTGTTGTTGGGATTAAACAGTTTTTTTAGTAGAACAAAGAATAATTGGCCTTGGGATTCATTTTGTTGTTGGGATTAAACATTTTTTTTAGTAGAACAAAGAATAATTGGCCTTGGGATTCATTTTGTTGTTGGGATTAAACTTCTGTTTTGGTTCAACACCAAAAATATTGCCTGGACCAACATTCTAAAGACAATGCAGAGGTGTAGCGACCCTTCCCGGCGCCCGGGGACAAACTTTTCAATTTGCACCCCCCCCCCCTCAAACTTTCTATTTGCACCCCCCTCAACCTTTCAATTTATTTTTCCAACCCATTTCGGTGCCCCCTGAGGTTGGCGCCCGGGGACATATGCCCCCCTCTGCCCCCTCCCTCGCTACGCTACTGAGACAATGACAAGTTGGTTGGAACAACCAAGGGATGCAAGCGCAGGCTCTACATCCCAGTTAAATTGAGTAAAAATGAGCTGCCTATTAGGCATTTCAATATCTTTTACAACTTGATCAGTTAGAAATCTTTGGTTTCATTAAATTATATAAAAACATGTCTAACATGGAAACACAAATACATTGTTACATTAATCCCAGGTACAACAACCAGTGGATGATTGTATTGAATGATTGATTTATGTATTGACTGATGGTCGCAGGTACAACAACCAGTGGATGATTGTATTGAATGATTGATTTAAATGATGGTTGCAGGTACAACAACCAGTGGATGATTGTATTGAATGATTGACTTATGTATTTACTGATGGTTGCAGGTACAACAACCAGTGGATGATTGTATTGAATGATTGATTTATGTATTTACTAATGGTGGCAGGTACAACAACCAGTGGATGATTGTATTGAATGATTGATTTATGTATTTACTGATGGTTGCAGGTACAACAACCAGTGGATGATTGTATTGAATGATTGATTTAAATGATGGTTGCAGGTACAACAACCAGTGGATGATTGTAGACTACAAAAGGTTCGAGTCCCTGCGTCAGACAGCTGTGCCTGGCCTGTTTTATCTGTTGGAGCAGATCCCGTAAGTTATCCTAACCACTGACACCAGATCCCGTAAGTTATCCTAACTACTGACAACAGATCCCGTAAGTTATCCTAACTACTGACAACAGATCCCGTAAGTTATCCTAACCACTGACACCAGATTCCGTAAGTTATCCTAACCACTGACAACAGATCCCGTAAGTTATCCTAACCACTGACACCAGATCCCGTAAGTTATCCTAACTACTGACAACAGATCCCGTAAGTTATCCTAACCACTGACACCAGATCCCGTAAGTTATCTACTGACACCAGACCCCTTATGTTTTACTAATTACTGACCACATACTTTTTGCTAATTACTGACTCTTAAATTATACTAATTACTGACTCTTAAATTTTACTAATTACTTACACTGTAAGCAATAATTATGTGATATTTAAACATTTTTTAAACGATTAAAAACTATTGAAATGTTGTATTCCCCAGTGGCACCATTGTGTATGATGACTTGTCTGAACTGTTGTTTAACCAAACCTATTTTGGCAGCTACAATGTTGCGTGAGTACTTCTTGACTCTGGTGTATGTGTTGTAGGGGACTAGTACATATGTTTTTGATGTGGCAATTTATGTGATTGCAGTACATATGTGTTGTATGATTGTGATACATGTCTTATATGGAAATATTAGTGTGACTGTAATAGTTAGGTATGTAATATCCATTCAGTATTTGGCTACATATAAGTTAGTTATTATAGCTAAATCAAAAAACTATTTTTATTTCATGTAAGGGAAGTAACAACATGTTTACAAGATAAATATGTTTAGTTATCTTTCTTTGACTTGCTGCCCTGTCCCAGGTATTTCCCCGAGATCTTCAACAAAAGTGGCCAGCCTGCCATGGTCCAGAAGTACGGGGACTGGTTCACCTACGACAAGAACCCCCGGGCCTTGATCTTCAAACGTGACGTCACCAACGTCAGGGATCTGACCACAATGACCAAACTCATGAGGTCAGTACAGACTGTCTGACTGCTGTCTGCCTGACCCCCTCTCCCCAGGTACAATTAATTCATGAATGACCCCCTCTCCCCAGGTACAATAACTTCATGAATGACCCCCTCTCCCCAGGTACAATAACTTCATGAATGACCCCCTCTCCCCAGGTACAATAACTTCATGAATGACCCCCTCTCCCCAGGTACAATAACTTCATGAATGACCCCCTCTCCCCAGGTACAATAACTTCATGAATGACCCCCTCTCCCCAGGTACAATAACTTCATGAATGACCCCCTCTCCCCAGGTACAATAACTTCATGAATGACCCCCTCTCCCCAGGTACAATAACTTCATGAATGACCCCCTCTCCCCAGGTACAATAACTTCATGAATGACCCCCTCTCCCCAGGTACAATAACTTCATGAATGACCCCCTCTCCCCAGGTACAATAACTTCATGAATGACCCCCTCTCCCCAGGTACAATAACTTCATGAATGACCCCCTCTCCCCAGGTACAATAACTTCATGAATGACCCCCTCTCCCCAGGTACAATAACTTCATGAATGACCCCCTCTCCCCAGGTACAATAACTTCATGAATGACCCCCTCTCCCCAGGTACAATAACTTCATGAATGACCCCCTCTCCCCAGGTACAATAACTTCATGAATGACCCCCTCTCCCCAGGTACAATAACTTCATGAATGACCCCCTCTCCCCAGGTACAATAACTTCATGAATGACCCCCTCTCCCCAGGTACAATAACTTCATGAATGACCCCCTCTCCCCAGGTACAATAACTTCATGAATGACCCCCTCTCCCCAGGTACAATAACTTCATGAATGACCCCCTCTCCCCAGGTACAATAACTTCATGAATGACCCCCTCTCCCCAGGTACAATAACTTCATGAATGACCCCCTCTCCCCAGGTACAATAACTTCATGAATGACCCCCTCTCCCCAGGTACAATAACTTCATAAATGACCCCCTCTCCCCAGGTACAATAACTTCATGAATGACCCCCCTCTCCCCAGGTACAATAACTTCATGAATGACACCCTCTCACCAGGTACAATAACTTCATGAATGACCCCCTCTCCCCAGGTACAATAAATTCATGAATGACCCCCTCTCCCCAGGTACAATAACTTCATGAATGACCCCCTCTCCCCAGGTACAATAACTTCATGAATGACCCCCTCTCCCCAGGTACAATAACTTTATGAATGACCCCCTCTCCCCAGGTACAATAACTTCATGAATGACCCCCTCTCCCCAGGTACAATAACTTCATGAATGACCCCCTCTCCCCAGGTACAATAACTTCATGAATGACCCCCTCTCCCCAGGTACAATAACTTCATGAATGACCCCCTCTCCCCAGGTACAATAACTTCATGAATGACCCCCTCTCCCCAGGTACAATAACTTCATGAATGACCCCCTCTCCCCAGGTACAATAACTTCATGAATGACCCCCTCTCCCCAGGTACAATAACTTCATGAATGACCCCCTCTCCCCAGGTACAATAACTTCATGAATGACCCCCTCTCCCCAGGTACAATAACTTCATGAATGACCCCCTCTCCCCAGGTACAATAACTTCATGAATGACCCCCTCTCCCCAGGTACAATAACTTCATGAATGACCCCCTCTCCCCAGGTACAATAACTTCATGAATGACCCCCTCTCCCCAGGTACAATAACTTCATGAATGACCCCCTCTCCCCAGGTACAATAACTTCATGAATGACCCCCTCTCCCCAGGTACAATAACTTCATGAATGACCCCCTCTCCCCAGGTACAATAACTTCATGAATGACCCCCTCTCCCCAGGTACAATAACTTCATGAATGACCCCCTCTCCCCAGGTACAATAACTTCATGAATGACCCCCTCTCCCCAGGTACAATAACTTCATGAATGACCCCCTCTCCCCAGGTACAATAACTTCATGAATGACCCCCTCTCCCCAGGTACAATAACTTCATGAATGACCCCCTCTCCCCAGGTACAATAACTTCATGAATGACCCCCTCTCCCCAGGTACAATAACTTCATGAATGACCCCCTCTCCCCAGGTACAATAACTTCATGAATGACCCCCTCTCCCCAGGTACAATAACTTCATGAATGACCCCCTCTCCCCAGGTACAATAACTTCATGAATGACCCCCTCTCCCCAGGTACAATAACTTCATGAATGACCCCCCTCTCCCCAGGTACAATAACTTCATGAATGACCCCCTCTCCCCAGGTACAATAACTTCATGAATGACCCCCTCTCCCCAGGTACAATAACTTCATGAATGACCCCCTCTCCCCAGGTACAATAACTTCATGAATGACCCCCTCTCCCCAGGTACAATAACTTCATGAATGACCCCCTCTCCCCAGGTACAATAACTTCATGAATGACCCCCTCTCCCCAGGTACAATAACTTCATGAATGACCCCCTCTCCCCAGGTACAATAACTTCATGAATGACCCCCCTCTCCCCAGGTACAATAACTTCATGAATGACCCCCTCTCCCCAGGTACAATAACTTCATGAATGACCCCCTCTCCCCAGGTACAATAACTTCATGAATGACCCCCTCTCCCCAGGTACAATAACTTCATGAATGACCCCCTCTCCCCAGGTACAATAACTTCATGAATGACCCCCTCTCCCCAGGTACAATAACTTCATGAATGACCCCCCTCTCCCCAGGTACAATAACTTCATGAATGACCCCCTCTCCCCAGGTACAATAACTTCATGAATGACCCCCTCTCCCCAGGTACAATAACTTCATGAATGACCCCCTCTCCCCAGGTACAATAACTTCATGAATGACCCCCTCTCCCCAGGTACAATAACTTCATGAATGACCCCCTCTCCCCAGGTACAATAACTTCATGAATGACCCCCTCTCCCCAGGTACAATAACTTCATGAATGACCCCCTCTCCCCAGGTACAATAACTTCATGAATGACCCCCTCTCCCCAGGTACAATAACTTCATGAATGACCCCCTCTCCCCAGGTACAATAACTTCATGAATGACCCCCTCTCCCCAGGTACAATAACTTCATGAATGACCCCCTCTCCCCAGGTACAATAACTTCATGAATGACCCCCTCTCCCCAGGTACAATAACTTCATGAATGACCCCCTCTCCCCAGGTACAATAACTTCATGAATGACCCCCTCTCCCCAGGTACAATAACTTCATGAATGACCCCCTCTCCCCAGGTACAATAACTTCATGAATGACCCCCTCTCCCCAGGTACAATAACTTCATGAATGACCCCCTCTCCCCAGGTACAATAACTTCATGAATGACCCCCTCTCCCCAGGTACAATAACTTCATGAATGACCCCCCTCTCCCCAGGTACAATAACTTCATGAATGACCCCCTCTCCCCAGGTACAATAACTTCATGAATGACCCCCTCTCCCCAGGTACAATAACTTCATGAATGACCCCCTCTCCCCAGGTACAATAACTTCATGAATGACCCCCTCTCCCCAGGTACAATAACTTCATGAATGACCCCCTCTCCCCAGGTACAATAACTTCATGAATGACCCCCTCTCCCCAGGTACAATAACTTCATGAATGACCCCCTCTCCCCAGGTACAATAACTTCATGAATGACCCCCTCTCCCCAGGTACAATAACTTCATGAATGACCCCCTCTCCCCAGGTACAATAACTTCATGAATGACCCCCTCTCCCCAGGTACAATAACTTCATGAATGACCCCCTCTCCCCAGGTACAATAACTTCATGAATGACCCCCTCTCCCCAGGTACAATAACTTCATGAATGACCCCCTCTCCCCAGGTACAATAACTTCATGAATGACCCCCTCTCCCCAGGTACAATAACTTCATGAATGACCCCCTCTCCCCAGGTACAATAACTTCATGAATGACCCCCTCTCCCCAGGTACAATAACTTCATGAATGACCCCCTCTCCCCAGGTACAATAACTTCATGAATGACCCCCTCTCCCCAGGTACAATAACTTCATGAATGACCCCCTCTCCCCAGGTACAATAACTTCATGAATGACCCCCTCTCCCCAGGTACAATAACTTCATGAATGACCCCCTCTCCCCAGGTACAATAACTTCATGAATGACCCCCTCTCCCCAGGTACAATAACTTCATGAATGACCCCCTCTCCCCAGGTACAATAACTTCATGAATGACCCCCTCTCCCCAGGTACAATAACTTCATGAATGACCCCCTCTCCCCAGGTACAATAACTTCATGAATGACCCCCTCTCCCCAGGTACAATAACTTCATGAATGACCCCCTCTCCCCAGGTACAATAACTTCATGAATGACCCCCTCTCCCCAGGTACAATAACTTCATGAATGACCCCCTCTCCCCAGGTACAATAACTTCATGAATGACCCCCTCTCCCCAGGTACAATAACTTCATGAATGACCCCCTCTCCCCAGGTACAATAACTTCATGAATGACCCCCTCCTCCCCAGGTACAATAACTTCATGAATGACCCCCTCTCCCCAGGTACAATAACTTCATGAATGACCCCCCTCTCCCCAGGTACAATAACTTCATGAATGACCCCTCTCCCCCAGGTACAATAACTTCATGAATGACCCCCTCTCCCCAGGTACAATAACTTCATGAATGACCCCCTCTCCCCAGGTACAATAACTTCATGAATGACCCCCTCGTCCCCAGGTACAATAACTTCATGAATGACCCCCCTCTCCCCAGGTACAATAACTTCATGAATGACCCCCTCTCCCCAGGTACAATAACTTCATGAATGACCCCCTCTCCCCAGGTACAATAACTTCATGAATGACCCCCTCTCCCCAGGTACAATAACTTCATGAATGACCCCCTCTCCCCAGGTACAATAACTTCATGAATGACCCCCCTCTCCCCAGGTACAATAACTTCATGAATGACCCCCTCTCCCCAGGTACAATAACTTCATGAATGACCCCCTCTCCCCAGGTACAAT